GAATAAGAAAATTCAAGTATGTGTGTGTAAAATAACACTAGAAATAAATCCCTTGGCCAATATTTACAAATTTGTTGTAATTGAATATCGTCCAACCTCCCTCATTAATTGGTAATGATAATTTCAATTTTTTGACAAGCATCCATATGAGGAGGAATATGTTAAATCAGGAGACGCTTCTGTAGTAAAAGTTACAACAGGCATTCAATTTTTAATTTGCCGATATTTTGTATCGATACATTTGTTTTGCTCATATCTTTATAATTTTGTGTTACTTTTATGATAGGACAATAGTTTCTTTATACCAATTATTTATTATTGTTGACAAAATTTGGATTTTTCAGCAGCAGCAACAATTTCATCCCAAAATTTTACAATATTTTGACTATATATTTGGCTATATTCATACAATATGTAAAATATAAAAAATTACAAAATGTTAAAATTATCTGTATAATGTCAATATTATAAAAAATTTTAATCAATACTAAGAAGTAAATACAAAATTGTACTGTATGGTATGTAGAAGCTTTTATTTCTATATATATATATATATATATAATATATCTTATATTTTATTAAAATAATAAAGAATATAATATAATTTTTAATAAAATGTAAAATTTTATTAACTTTTTTAGCCATTATTTCATTAATAATAGATCATATTTTGAGCAAAGTAATAGAGAGTAATAAAAGATTAAAAGAAAAAATAAAATCAATAAGAAGTAAAGACAAACCGAAAATAGAAATAATAAAAGGAGATTGTTTTACGAGAGACAAGAAAAATGGTGAAGTAATAAAGGAATATAATTAATGTTAGATATTAAAAACATATGAAATAAGATTAAAAACAAATGTAGCCAAAACGCAATTAAAAGAAAGAAATTATAACAATTATAGACGATATAAAGAAATAAAAGGAAAAATAAAAAGTTTACTAATAATTTATAAATTATTTTAAAAAATCACAATTCATGAAACAAAAATCAAAGATAATTATTGAGATATATGGGGAGCCACATTCGAGAGTGATGATATTGACATATGTTGTCAAGATCACTGTTCTGAGTAAGTATCAAAAGGTTTTAATGTCACTTATTGTTTATTAAAAAGTTATTAACAAAAAGGTTCACTAAATAAAACTAATATTTGTGACATACATGTATTATTATATGTTCAAAAGCGTAATATAGTAAACGCGTGGGTCAAGACGAAGACAGGAGCCTTTCCCTCTGCACCCAACTCGCTACCATAAACTAACCAACCCATGTTCAAAGAACGAATTTTATACATAAGTTGATCAGGATAAGTTTTGAAAGAAAGGTGGTGCAGAGGGAGGGACGCAGCCCTTGGCTCTTTCTTGATCAACGCGTTTATTTTATTACGCGTCCAAACATATAATGCACATACATATATAAATGTATTGTATATTTGGACGTGTAATAAAGTAAACGCGTGGGTCAAGAAGAAGCAAGGGACTCCGCCGGGCTTCGGCCAACCTTTTGCACTCCCGCCTTCTTCAAAAATTAATTCTAACCAACCTATGCTCGAAGAATGAATTTTAAACAACGTTTTTGATATTTATATAAATATTTTTTTGCCTTTTAATGGTCAAAATAACTGCTATATGTTTCAACTTTTTTTGTTAATAACTTTTTATAACAGCGACGCTTAAAACCTTTTAATATTTACTCAGGACAGTAATTTTGACTACATATGTCAAGGTCATCGAAATCTGAAGTGACTCCTTATATCTCAATAATTAGCAAATAAAACAACAATGTATATGGATATGATGAAAAAGTGACAATGATAAAACAATAATTCTTTTTTCTTTCTACAGAAACAGTTTTCATAGGCACAATAATGAAATTAAAAATAAAACTAAAAGATATTAAAATAGTAGCAGGTCTGATAAAATAGCGAAATTGTTCGACTAAAAAAAAATTAGGAAATAATGTCAGAAGAAGCCAAAAAATAAGGGACATTTTATGAAACTTCTATTATTATTAAATATTATTTATGTTACACAATTTTATTTTTTTGATATTATATTTTATATTGAATTACTCACGTGCTATTTATATATGAGCGAATTCCTTTCCAAAATATTTTTTTAGTGAAGGCGTGATCCATCATGCGCAGTATAAAAGGCGCTACAATTTACATGAAAATTATAATTAAGATATGTTATAAATATATATTTGCTATAACAGTTACTTGTAAATATAGTAATTTTTAAAGAAAAGTGACATATATATGTATATTGACTAGGTAATAATCGCGTAAGAATAAAATGTTTTTTATTGTGTGTGTAGCACACCGTATATCATTTGTTTTATAAGTACGTTTCTTGCTGAATAATTTTGAATATAAAACAATGAGAAAAATCAACGTTTTTAAAAATAAAACCATTATAGTTTTTAAGGAAAACAGTGTAGTTGCTAGTTGCAAATAACATACACACACATATATGTCTATTGATTATATGTATAAATACTTTAAATATTAATGAAAGAATATGCATAAATACGCACAAACGTACATACGTGTTTGTTGTGCATGTGTGTGTGTGTGTGTGTGTGTGTGTGTGTGGTGTGCGTGCGCGTGTGTGTGCGTGCGTGCGTTGTGTGTGTGTGTGTGTGTGTGTGTGTGTGCGCGCGCGCGTGTGTGCGTGCGTGCTTGTGTGTGTGTGTACTTTTATAAAAAAAATATTTAATAAAATCCAGATATAGAATTATCTTCTAACTTAACACATATTTTAAAATATTAATTGTGAAAAATTTAAATGGACTATTTTATCATATTACGTATACCTCTGATTGATTGGCGAATTTTCAATAAACTGTTCTCTTGTGAAGTAGAAGGCCACATATGATAATCACCATCTAAATTAAAAGAGTAATGTTGATTTTGAACAACAAATAAATTTATTATTCGATAAACTGGATACATCTATAAAAAATTATTAATATATCAATATAACCGTTCTTAAAATACTTGCATTAAATACTAATATTAAATATTATTAACGTTACTTCATTGTTAAAATGACCACTTTTTTTTTAGAAAACACATATTAAAAATTTTATTAATAAAATCTAAAATTTTGTTAGAATATAATTAGGAAATATTACATATTTTTTAAATAAAAAGTATTATATTGCAGACATCTCTTTATCAAATTTATTTTAATAAATATTATGTGTACTAGTTTTTGATTAATTTATTTTATTTTAGATTTTATAAAAATTAAAAATATCTAAAAAAGTGGTGTTTGATTTAAGAAATTATTGCAATATGAATGCATAAGTTTTGTATCGTTTGCGAGAAGTACGTTGGGAGCGAGATAGCGTTGAAAATATTTAGAATAACCTTATTAACAGCATACGTTGCAAGCAATGTAATAAGACCTTTTTTAAACCAAAAATCAGACACTGACGGATTGTTCATCATATTATTAAACCATTGTTGTGTCACTTTACGTCCTACTAATTGAGCTACTTCGATTTTGTGAGCAATAGAATATAAATTTTTATCGTAGATGATATCTGTTTCCCTGAAAGTTATATTTAATGTTAATGCTGGGAACTTTATAGAAAATAAAGTATATTTTTGTTACAATATTATAATTTTATTGTTAGATGCTTGATTTAGAAAATCATGGGTACAATTTTTAGCAAATCAGTATTTAAATCGTACCAAATTAAAATTTTATGTTTTTTAATATACAATATAAAACAACGATAAATTTCTGTTAATGTGTATATCGTTGACAAAAAACAATATTTTGAAATAAATAAAAAAGTGTCATTTCTTTTAAACTTTATAATAGTTTTAACATTTACCTTACAGGGTATGATTTAGCATACATACTTTCGCCTTTATGTATGTATTAAAGAGTAAACTTTAACTTTTTAATATTATGAATAAACTCAATTCTACTAAAATTATTTGTTTTCGTAAGTTCTTATAATTTGGAACGTTTACAGAAACGAAATATATACCTAATTTTAAATTTTATAATTATACATACTAATATAATTTTATTTTTAATGTAATTAAGTATTTATACTCACCTATAAAAAACAAGTCCAAAAACTATTGTGCCTTTGTCATGGAAATTTGGAATTGCAACATGAGACACCATCGAAATATTGTTTGAATGCTTCCATGTTTTGTTAAATAATAACGTGATATTTGTAGCTACATTATTTGAAAATTCCATGTCCAATACAGCATCAATTCTGGTCCACATTTTAATGATTTCGTTATCAATATGGAATAGGCAATTAGACACAATTATTGTTACATGATCAGTCCACATGACAGGTGTGGTATCGTTATGTATCCATAACATATTGTGTTCATCTAATTTCGTATTTTGCAATGGTATATTTGACAATGCCGCGCAACTATCACATCTTATAGAAATGTTAAAGGTTGCTCTTAACCGTACATCATGTAGATGCAAACATGACAATTTTTGAAAAAATGGTCGAGCGCCTATTATTTGGAAATGCGGAGCACCTACCCAACTATATTTCAAAAAACATGAATTAATGAAACGTTTTTGACAAGTATAAAAATATTGGGATTTAGAAAATGTATAAATGTTATATGCGTCACATATTATATTTTATGACTCTATTACATTCTAATAATAAATATAAAGGTTGTTTGCGTTTAGATTTAAATTCTGCGATATATAATAACTTTTGGGCATTTAATACATAAATAATATATTAATTCCAATGTCTTATGTAATTGCATATTGTACTCTTTTTTATTAATAAACATTTTTATTAATAAACATTTATTATTTACTTACGTAGATTTTTCTTTTATATTAAAAATTCTAAAATATTTATCAGCAATACCAAATATTTTATATTTAAGGTGTAATTTCCTGGTGATAACTCATCCATAAAGAAAACATAAATTGTGTCCTTTTCAGTATTATATGTCGGTTTATAAACGGTATCATTATCATTCTCATGATATCGTTCAAAATTTGTAATTAAAATTATATTTTTAATACATATGTTTTCTGAATGTAAATATATGTGTTGCGTTTTGTTAAGAATGTTTATGCTGATATTGTATTCCGCATAGAAAATATTTTTTCAATATATGGTGTAAGCTTGATATCGTAATGCATTGGTATTATATATTCTGATTCTTGATAGCATAAAGATTCATTGCGAGTGGAAGCCGTCGCAGCGATAAATATTAATCCGCTTAAGAATAGTTTTAGAAATATCATTATGTTGGAGAAAAGGATCATTTCTTTTAGATCTGTAAAACACTCTGGACAAAAGATAAATAAAGAAATTAAATATAGCTTAGATGTCTTTTAAATGATTTTTGTATATAAAAAAAAAAAAAATACAAAACGTATTAAAATTATTAATTTGGTACTTTACTTTTCAATGGGGTGGAGAGATGAAAAAGGATGAAATCCAAATCGAACAAAAGTTTCTTAAACTAGAGACGTCACCCTCTAAAACAGAATAAAACTTTTTCAAATACGATAATTTTTTGCAGAGTTACGTTTTTTTACGCGCAAGTTTTCTGTTAATCGAGTGTTGCGATAATCTTGTTGTCCCCTGTATATACATATATATATATATATATATATATATATATATATATATGTATGCATATATACATATGTATTTTAGTTTCGCACATATTGTAATTGACAGCAATGTAGAAATATTAAGTTTACAGCATATTTTATATTTTATTTAAATAATTAATCTCATTGTCACATATTTATGTGCATTTAGTATTTAAGAATATTATTTAAAATATAAAGATTTATAGTATATAAAATTAGTTATCTGAGCCTGTGTATACATTCAAAATAAGAAGAACACAGCTTACTGTGTTTATCCTTAGATAAGAAAAAGTGAGGAGCGGCAATAAGAGAAAGAAGGTGAGAGATAGAGCACGTGTTTACATTATTATGTTCTTTGGAAAGTCTGTTTGATTTCTTTTCTTAAACTGTGTATTATAAACTTTTCAGCTTTAATGGATCTTATTAAATCTATATATAAACTATTGTCTGTGCGTTAAAATTTAATACAAATATGCGTTTCGAACGTTTCATATCAAATATTTTATGTAAAAAATTGGACGTAAAATATTTAGTATTTTGTCTATTTCTAACTTATACGATTAATATAATTTTACTTATTTTTAAATGTTATATTTATATTTATTTTTCACTTAATAAAATTAATTTGTTTACACTTTTGATAATACATCGGCCTTATAGGGTGATAGGTCCAATACAAATTCACAGCAATTGTCCTACTTTTCTCATTTTTCTTAATTATATACCTACATTATTTTTAATAACAAAGTTAATATTTAATTCTTCTTTCTTGTTACAGTTATTTTTTCTATTCAATGTCATCACAACTTATAAATCATTTTAAATATTAAAATACGCACCAATATCTTTTTATAAAAAAATAAGTATGACAAATAGAAAATAGAATTTTAATAATTTAGTAATAATAGGACAAATAAAAGTGAGTATTAAAATATTAATTATTTGTTATATAAATTATAGTATATTTAAATTTCAGAAATAATTTATTTGATATCAAACTTTTTGGGGTGATCGAATATTTCAACATTACAATTTATAAAATATTATAATATATTCATTATTTAAAATTATTTTTAGATAAAACTGTATGATTAAATTTTTTTTGCATTTGTAGACAAATATATTTTTATATCTTTAATTTATTTTGACTTACCCAATATTTCGGAGCAGTAGCCTAATTGGAAAATTATATTGGAAAAATTATATTTAAGTAAAATTATATTTTTTTCTAAATTAACTGCAACAAATAAATGCTTTAGCAATATGCGCAATGTTGAAGGAATGTAATATTTACACACGCTTTATTACAATTATTATATCTACCACGATATGTCTACCACGATATGGTTCGAAAGACCACGAAAGGTTGACTGACGCTTCTCTGTACGCGTATCGTGCGATAAATATGATATATTAAGACAACAAAACTTTTGAGGTCAATATATATATATGTGTGTGTGTGCGCGTGCGTGCGTGCGTACGTGCGTGCGTATGTGTGTGTGTGTGTGTGTGTGTGTGTGTGTGTGGTGTGTGTGTGTGTGTGTGTGTGTGTGTGTGAAGCGCGTGTGCGGCTGCGTTTGTAACTTTCGTGTTAATTAAGCACATTCAAATTTCGGCCAATTATCATATAAATGTGCATTATTTACAAATTCATATTACTTATTTCGAAAACGTTTTACGACAAAAGTGGTGTAATATTTTGTAATATATATTCATCGCTTTCGATAATTTCATCTTAATACAATAATATATATAAATACCTAATATTTAGGCTTGCATAAATTCAAAAGTGATATAAGAATAGGCTAACTAAACAAGTTAAATTGTTTTGAGTATTAAATAAGGTAAGATTAATATTTTATTCAAATAACTTTGTGAAATTATGTGAGAAAGAAAGGGAGAGAAAAAGAGAGAGAGAGAGAGAGAGAGAGAAGAAGAAGAGAGAGAGAGAGAGAGAGAGAGAGAGAGAGAGAGAGAGAGAGAGACTGGTTGTGGTAGCAGAAGGGCGGCGGGAGAGAGAAAGAGTTATGTGATTTATTATAAACTAAAAAATGGTAATTAATCACAAATTTTAAATTATAACATTAAATGTGTCAAATATTTTATTATTGAACATATGGCACATACAATTATAATAGTTTACATATAATGTTAACATATTACTAATTCTTATAGTTATATTGTACAAACTTATTATATAATATATATAATCATTTATTAATTATTATAATGTAATAAATATATATTAATATATAATATGATCTCTATATATCACGTACGTATTATAAAATATATAATATTATGATTTTACACGCAACAACACACACACACACACACACACACACACACACACACACACACACATATATATATACACATGTATATATTAATTTTTTTTTTAATATAAAAAAACGAAATTTTATAATACATATAAACATAAATATGTTGTGTAAATTTTTATAATATTTAAATAATAATTTGTTATATACATATATATATATATATATATATATATATATATATATCTGTGTGTGTGAGTGTATTTGTGCATATGTGTACGTAAACATATAATTTTATTAATAATGTAAAAAAATTAAAAACAAATTAATATATAATTTAAAATATATAGATAATACATTTAGGTGCATTTATCATTCAACAAGCATATTATATATTCATATTATCTATATATTTATACATTTATATTATTATATTATATATAAAAGTGAAATTTATTGTAATATTATATGGCTACTTTCTTGTGACAACACAAGTAATAATATATCGTTCAACTACTTCATACAAGTTTGCAAAAAAAAAAAATATAAATGAAAAACTTTTGATACATGAAGACATGAAGTTTAGTAAATACAGAGGCATCGAATAGTATTACATCTAAATAAATAATTAAAGCAGTAAAATAAATAATATATAATACTGTCTCTGTCTTTCAATTTGATATTTGCGAATTGATATCTTGCTTCCAATATTGTCAGAATCCTGCATTATGATATTCTAATAAATATAAACAAAGATTTGCATAATGAAATCAATATACTGTTTATATAATAAACAAAACAGACATAAAATTAATAGAGAATTTAATAAAAGATAGAACAATATTTCTTTTTCTTTCGATCTCCATAATAATATTTATAAAATTTACTTTTTCTTATATTGTATCAATTGATATGATTTCATAAAACTTTAACCATTTAACCGTAATCGTTTATTTTCTAAATGTATTATTTTTTACGTTACTAATAAACAACATTATTATAACATTATAAAAATTATTTAAACATTATAATTAAATAATAATTATTAACATTGCATTACTATTACATTTTGTATACATATAAATATGTAAAATTTTTACCTGAATTATATTTACGAAATATACGTTATAATAATAATAATTATTGCTGCAGTTACGTGAACATGTCTAAAAACGAGAAAAAATGTATTTATAAACAATTATTTTTACAAAATACTTCTAAAAATATGTCTCATTACTTTGATTTTATGTTCAAAAAAAATATTGAATATGTCTTTCAGGATAATTTGATTATTCGCATGCTTCGTAATAATATATAAGAAACTGTTAAGAAAATATTGATTTTCTTTTTTAAAAATAGATTTATATCTTAAATAGTTTTTAATCATATCAGCATCTTCAGTGCAAGCCAAGTATTCTAAAAATTTAGTGTCTTTTTTTGCAACATCTATAGCATACACTGATTCCCAAATCGGTTTGTTGGTATTTATCATCAAACTTTTACAATATGTCCATTCCTTCCACCATGGCAAAACCCTATAACATAAAAAAAATTAAATTTTCTCATTAAAAACTAGCATATAAATATCTTGATCAAATTATTTAAACATTATAGGCAATACCTACGGAGAATTTGATTAAGAAAAGCTAACAATATATAACAATAGTTACTTGTGTATTTCAAAATCTTGGAGATGTTGTTCTAATTTATTGTTGGCTTCTTTCTTACAAGTGATAGCATCAAGAAGACATGCCCATCTTGCAGCTTCTTGTCGTAAACATATTCTAAGTTCGTCTATATCATCAATTTCTTCATATGTGATTCTTCTAAGTACATGGTATAATATATTATTTATTCTTTCCTACAAATCGTTAAATATATATTTATTTGTTTGTATTATAAATGTATTTAATAATAATTATATTTTTCTATTATTTTCCAATAGATTTTTAAAGTTTTTTCTTTCTATGAAACTAAAATACATACAAATTCACTTATGGATGCTATCTATTCACGTACATATATGTACTTGTAAATATACATATATATGTATTATAAATGTATGCAAAAATATGATTTAATTTGTGCAAAATGTTTATAATATTTAATAGATATTAAAGTTTCATAACTATTTATTAATCATATTTTATTTTTAAATCAGGTATAAAATATATATTTTTGAGAAATATATAATTAAATTTTTCGAACTATATATATGTTTTATATTTTTTAAATGACTAACATGTAATATTTATTTGAAGCCGATAATTGCATTTATTGACAATGATTTTAAGCACCTAGCTATACATATATTCAATAACAAAGTTATATACTAATAATATTGGCAGTAGTGAAAATCATAAACTATTCGGATAGTTCTTTGAATAAGTGATTATTCAAACTGAATTTGTTTGCACATTTGTTTGCGACGTAATAATATGTAAAATGTTATTGTTGCTGGATATATTTTTCTAAATTTGTAAATTATTTGTGATCAATGAGTGTATATGCAAATATTTAAAATATAATATTTTCATTGAAAGAGTGATGGCAAATGTCGCCCATTTTTGGGACCTTAAATTTCAAACTTTTTTTCATCATAAATAGTACTAACAGATGAAACATTACCTAATCCCAGTAAAATTTCAAGATGAGCATAGGCACTGTTCCGGAGATATGAAGAAGCAAATGTGATAATTTGTAATTTTTGACTAGAAATCATTACTTTCACCCGCTTGTATCTCCGTGTCTATGCTCATCTTGAAATTTCTCTGAGATTAATGTCTCATCATATAGTACTATTTGACATAAAAAAGTTTAAAATTTGAAGTTTCAAAATTTGACTTTATAAAATGGGCGAAAAAACAGATCTATTTGCCATCACTTTTTATTAATATTTACCGTAAAATATCCAATTTTTTCTTTCGTCACTGAAAAAGTACTACATATATATTCCAGAGCTTTAAACAAAGAATACCATGAGATTGGGATATATGTTGTGGGCTTGACGATATAGTGGTGAGGTAGGTGAGCTATATAATCTTCTTCTTTATGCAAATACGATATAATGTTTCAGAATATATAGGAATGGAGATGGCCTGCTATCATTAAATTGAATGCATCATCGATAATTTGGACACGATTAAGAACATGAATTTTCTTGTAATTACGAAAGTGTACATAATTTGTAATTCTTTGCCAATTCTCTTTATCATAGTTAACGCGATAATATCCTGTCGAATAGTAAATAAATTTTATCAATTCTTATTGTTCTGAATAATTTTATCATTAATATACTTATTTTTAAACTTATTTCAATTTTTGTTTCATACTTTCTTTATATAAATTATAAATTAAAAATGCACGAAAAATTTAATTTCGTCTATAAATAAAATGCAAATGCATATAGAAGGTTAATTCTAAAAATATCATTATTAAATAGAGGAAGCAAGCGGAAAGGAAGAAAGGTGAGGCAACGTACGTTACAAGAAGAAAGGAAGGTGAAAAGGAGAGAAGTGTGATTGGAGGAAAGATAAAGAAGAAAGGAGAAAAGGAAGGTGAGGAAAGTAAAAGTAATATGTGGTCATAGTGAAGAGGAGAGATCAGAAGCAGGAGAGGAGAGAAAAAGGTTAAGAGGGTGCGGAGAAGGCGAGGACGATCAGGAGATGGTAGTGGAGAAAGTGAAGAGAAGGTGAGAAAGAAGGAGAAAAAAAGAAAAAGCAAACAGGAAGAAGAGAGAAGAGATCAAGGAGGACGCGTTACGAGGTGGTAAAGAGAGGTGTACGTAGTACGAGGTGGTACAGAAAGTGATGAAGGAAGAATTAGTAATATAAAGTAGTAAAAGAAGGAAAAGAAAGAGGAGGTATGAATATGGTCGACAAATGTGGATGTAAGAATAGAAATAAGGAAAGGAGGATTATAGAGTTGATAGTCAGGATAGTGGAGAAAGAGAATAAAGAAGGAGAAATAAGTGTTACGAGAGAAACGAGAGAAAATGTAGTGGCAAGAGGAGAGATACGTTGGTGATAAAGAGAGTAGAAGAAAAGAGTGCTTTGATAGGAACAAAGAAGACAGTAGTGGCAAAAGAAGAGATACGGATGGTGGAGAAGAGAGCGGAGGAGAAGAAGGAGAGAGAGACAGGAGAAGGAAAGCAAAGGAAAAGGAGAAAGAAGAAGAAGAGGAAGGATGAGGTGGAGGAAAAGGAGAAGAGAAGGGAAAAGAGAAGGGGGAAGAGGTATTTAATGTAGAGATGTAGGAAGTGGTGGACAAGAGAAATTTTTGGAGAAAGGGGTGGATGATGAGATGTGGGATGGGATATATGTTGTTGGCTTGACGATATAGTGGTGAGTATGTTAGATGGTGGTTCGAGAGAAGGGCAAGAAAAGAGAGATTGGGGAAAAGTAGGAAAAGAGGATAGGAGAGGAGAGTTCGAGGAGATGAAAGAGAGTTAAAGATAGAAGGAAGGGAGATAGGGTGGAGTTGAAAAGAGGGACGGGACGATTAGGAGGGGAGGCAGACAGAGTAGAAAGTAGGTTTTGTTTTTTGTTAAAGGAATGAAAGGAAAAAGGAGACGGAGGTTAAGGTCAAAGAAAAGAGAAAGGAGAGAATAAGAAAATGGCAACTATATGTGTGCAATAAAGACGAGAAATGAGAAATAATAAGTCCTTGGTCGATATTTACCAATTTTGTTGTATATTGAATATGTCCAACCTTCCTCATTAAATGGAAATGATAATTTCAAATCTTTTGATGCGTATACCATATATGATAACTAAATTGTTTAAATCGGGGAAACGCTTACGTAGTAAAAGTTACAGGAAGGCAGTCAATTTGTAATTTCTCGATATTTTGTATCGATACTTTTACTTGCCCCATGGGAGCCTATAATTTTTGTTACTTTACGATAGGACAATGTGGTTTCTATTACCAATAATTTTTATTAATAGTTTAGCAATATATGGTTCTTCTGCAGCAGCAGCAATTTCTTCCCAAAAATTTGAAATACTTTGACAGTGCAATTGGTCAAATTCACACAGTATGTAAAATATATAAAAATCCATTATAAATATGTTAAAATTGTCTGTATAATGTTAATATTATACAAAATTTTAATAAATGCTAAGAAGCAAATTATAAAATTGAACTTCTATTTATATATCTTATATTTGTATATAATATAAAGAATATAACATAATTTTAAATAAAATTTAATAATTTTATTAAATTTTTAGGCATTATTAGCATTAATATAGATTATATTTGAGCAAATTATTGAGAGAGTTATAAGATTATTAAAAAAATAAATAAAACAAATAAGAAGTTAAAGACAAACAAAAAGAAAAAAAATAATATAAAGAAAATTGTTTTACAAGAGACAAAAATAAAAATAGAGAGGAAATGAAAAAAGAAATGTAAAGTGTTAGATATTTAAAAACCTAATAAATAAGATTAAAAACAAATGTAGTACAAAATGTTAATAAAAGAAAAGAAATTATAAAAATTATAGATGATATAAAAAATAAAGGGAAAAAATAAAAACTATAAAAATAATTTATAAATTATTTTAAAAAAACAACAAATCATGAAAAAAATTAAAGGTAATTATTGAGATATGGGAAGCCACATTCGATTTTGATGACCTTGACATATGTTGTGAAGATAACTGTCCTGAGTAAGTATATCAAAAGGTTCTAAGCGTCGCTCATTGTTTATAAAAAAGATATTAACAAATAATTTGCTAAATAAAACTAATATTTGTGACATATATACATTTAAATGTATTATATGTTTGGACGTGTAATAAAGTAAACGTGTGGATGAAGCAAGAGCTAGAAGAGAAGTGGCTCCACCGGACTTCGCCCTCCTCCCCCCCCCCGTCTCTTCAAAAACTAACCCTAATCAACTGATGTCCGAAGAATGAATTTAAAACAACGTATCTTATATTTATACTATAAGTATCTTTTTACCTTTTAATGGTCAAAATAACTGCTATATTTTTCAAACTTTTTGCTAATAACTTTTTATAAACAATGAGCCATGCTGAAAATCTTTTGATGTATTCGATATATCCCCTTATTAGAAGATATGTCGAATAAAAATTGAAAGCAATTGTTCTCTATTCTTATTTTTTGTAAGTATATAATCTTTAACAACAAAAGTAATATTAGATTCTTTTTTATTGTTACAGCTATTCTATTTCATGTCAACACACAATTTGAAAATTATTTTAAATATTAAAATACACACAGATATGTTTTTATAAAAAATAAGTACGACAAATTTTAGAAAACAGAAATTTAATAATTTGTAATAAAATGACAATTAGAAGTGTCTGTTATAATATTTATTATCTGTTATGTAAATTGTAGTATTTTAAGTTTCAGAAGTAATTTATTTGATATCATATTTTTGTGAACCAAAATTATTTTAACATTACAATTCGTAAAATATAATATCGACACTATTTGAAATTATCAATTGATTCAAATTTGAAAATGTTTCATAATAAAATTATTTTCTTTATACTTCTATGTTGGAAATTCTTTAAAATTCCGTTATAATGTATAATTAAATTATTTTGGTGTTTGTAGATAAATATGTTTTTATATTTTAATCTTAACTTACCCCCAGTATTTCGTAACCGAATGTTAATTAAAAAATTATATTGATAAAATTTATATTTTTTTCTAAATTAACTAAAACAAATTAATGATTTAGCAATATGCACAATGTTGGAAGAATATAATTATTCACAAACACTTTATTACAATCATTAGTCTTTATGTCTACTACGATATGATTCGAACAACCACGAAAGACTGACTGATTCTCTGGACGTGTCATCGTAATAATTATATGTTGTGTTAGGTCAACATAACTTTTTAGGTCGACATATGTATGTCCATATATATCAACAAATTATATATGTAATATTAAATATATATTTATATAATATATAATTAATAACGAATTTTTAATATAAATATAAATTGTAAATATGTTGGCTGCAAATTTTTATAATATTTAAATAATAATATGTTATACATATATATAGATGTATTTGTGTGAACGCGCGCGCGTTTGTGTGTGTGTTTGGGCGCACATATAATTTTATTAATTAACGTAGAAAAATTAAAAACAAAGTTACATATAATGCAAAATAAATAGATAATACATTTAGGTGCATTTAACATTTAACAAGCATATATTTATATATTTATATTACTTAAATAAATATATACATTTATAATATTATATTACATCTTATAGTAAAATTTATTGTAATATTATATCGCTATTTTCTTGTGACTACATAATATATAGTTTAACTAATTCAAGCAAGTTCGCAAAAACATGATAAACTTGAGGCACGCAATCATAAAGTTTAGTAAATATAGAAGCATCGAATAGTAATATCTAAATAAACAATAATAGTTAAAGTAGTAAAACAAATAATACATACAATATAAAAAAATTATTCATATGAAGTATATCCATGCATGCAAAGCTGCAATTTTTTTATTTTACACGAAGAAAAAACTTATAATACTGTCTCAGTCTTTTGATTTGACTTTTGCGAATTGATATCTTGCTTTCAGCTTTGTCAGAATACAGCATTCTGTAATCCTAATAGATATAAACATAAATTTGCACAATAAAATCAATATACTGTTATATAATAAACAAAACAAATATAAAATTAATACGCAGAAGTTAATAAGAAAGATTTATTTTTCTTTCGATTTTCCTAATAATATTTATTAAATTTACCATTTCTTTATTTCATCGAATAATATCTTTGCATTGACCTTCAACCATTTAACGTGTTCGTTTATTTCCTAAAATATTATTATTTTATAACATTATTATAACATTATCAAATTATTTAAACATTAAATAATAATTATTAACATTGCATTATTATTAAATTTTGTATACATATATAAACATGTAAAATTTTTACCTCAGTTAGAAGATTTACGGAATATACGTTATTAATAATAATAATTATTGCTGTAGTTATATCAACATGTCTAAAACAAAAAGCAAATGTATATAAAACAATAAATTTTTGTACAAAATATTTATAAAAATATGTCACATTACTTTGGTTTTATGTTCACAAAATTATCTAATATGTCCTTCAGAATAATTTGATTATTCGCATGCTTCGTAATAATATATAAGAAACTGTTAAGAAGATATTGATTTTCTTTTTTAAAAATAGATTTATATCTTAAATAGTTTTTAATCATATCAGCATCTTCAGTGCAAGCCAAGTATTCTAAAAATTTAGTGTCTTTTTTTGCAACACCTATACCATACACTGATTCCCAAGTCGGTTTGTTGGTATTTATCATCAAACCTTTACAATATGTCCATTCCTTCCACCATGGCAAAACCCTATAACATAAAAAAAATTAAATTTTCTCATTAAAAACTAGCATATAAATATCTTGATCAAATTATTTAAACATTATAGGCGATACCTACAGAAAATTTGATTAAGAAAAGCTAACAATATATAACAATAGTTACTTGTGTTTTTCAAAATCTTGAAGATGTTGTTCTAATTTATTGTTGGCTTCTTTCTTACAAGTGATGTCATCAAGAAGACATGCCCATCTTGCAGCTTCTTGTCGTAAACATATTCTAAGTTTGTCTGTATCATCAATTTCTTCATATTTGATTCTTCTAAGTACCCAGATTAATTCCAACCTTATGCGATACTATAAATCGTTAAATATATATTTCTTTGTTCATATTATAAATGTGATCAAAAATTATTTAATTTTCTTATTATTTTTCAATAAATTCTTAAAATTTTCTTTTTTTATGAAACAAACATACAAACAAATTCACTTATAGACGCTAACGTTTATTTATTCACGTACATATGTATATCTTATTGCAAACCCATGTAGAATCCTATGAAAAATTAATCATTGCAAACCCATGTAGAATCCTAGGCAAAATTAACCATTGCAAACCCATGTAGAATCGTACCATTGCAAACCTATGTAGAATCCTATGAAAAATTAACCATTGCAAACTCATGTAGAATCCTATGAAAAATTAACCATTGCAAACCCATGTAGAATTGTATTAAAAATTATCCATTGCAAACTTATGTAGAATCCTACATTGCAAACCCATGTACAATAGAATTGTATGAAAAATTATCGATTATAAACCCATGTACAATCGTAACAAAAGTAATGAAATAAAAAAAAATTGCGCCAAGTGAAAGTAGAAACTTGTACCAGTGGAAAATTAAAGTTGCAGACATATATAGAGTCGTATAATGAATCAGTAAAAATTTAAATTTGCAAATGTAGAATCGTACCATAAAAAAACTTATCTTTTAAAAAAAAAGATAAACAAGATGCCAAGTCCATGCGCCATGTGAAAAAGAAATAAAAAAATTTTAGTTAAAAAAACTGGGCGCGCTGCTAAGTTTCAAAATTACAATGCACCTTAAAGTAACATTAATTAATTTAAACACAAAACATATTTTAACTGTAATGAGTTTAAAAGTAACAATTTAATTTTAATATTGTTAGAATATTATTTAGCAGCGCTCCCAGTTTTTTTAACTAAAATTTTTTTATTTCTTTTTCACATGGCGCATGGACTTGGCATCTTGTTTATCTTTTTTTTTAAAAGATAAGTTTTTTTATGGTACGATTCTACATTTGCAAATTTAAATTTTTACTGATTCATTATACGACTCTATATATGTCTGCAACTTTAATTTTCCACTGGTACAAGTTTCTACTTTCACTTGGCGCAATTTTTTTTTTATTTCATTACTTTTGTTACGATTGTACATGGGTTTATAATCGATAATTTTTCATACAATTCTATTGTACATGGGTTTGCAATGTAGGATTCTACATAAGTTTGCAATGGATAATTTTTAATACAATTCTACATGAGTTTGCAATGGTTAATTTTTCATAGGATTCTACATGATGGTTTGCAATGGTTAATTTTTCATAGGATTCTACATAGGTTTGCAATAGGATAGGATTCTACATGGGTTTGCAATGGATAATTTTTGTTAATGGCGTGCCCTTAACTGGTCGCCTTTTTTTACCTTTTTTTAAAGGTGAGTTTTTAGAGATTATATCATTCATTTTTGTATATTTTTATGACCGGAATAGAACAATTATTAAACATGTTTATCTAAACTTCTTTGCTTAAAATGATGTGTACAATCATATCCTAGAATCCTGATCATTCCTCCTAAAGCACCCTATTTATATAAATTTACCCATATGTGTGTGTGTGTGTGTGTGTGTGTGTACTAATGTCGAGCATTTTTTATACATTTTCTATTAAATTTAGATAAAAGTTGCAGGATTTCGAAAAAGAAAAAGTTGACACAGACTTTTTCCTAAACGGCGATTTTCAAGGTTATTTAAAGGTCACTTATATTTTCAAAATAGAATTACCTTAATTTTTCTCATATAAATCGATTCCTCGCAATATTTACTATAAAAAGTTGTAAAGGTATAATTTTTACATAATCTTACATAAACTTCGAAATATTACAAATATTTTATTTTATGAAATATTTCAGTTTATGTAAAATTATGTTAACTATCTTTTAAATTATTCACTTTTAGCCATCTTACCCTTACAACCTTTTATAGTGAATATTGCAACAAATTGGTTTATATATATAATATATATAACATCAGTTATTATTAATTGATGTTTACATTTATTTTTAGACTTACTAGAGCTCAAATGCTCCACATTTTTTGCAAAAACTGTTTATTCTACAGATTTCAAATATGCTTTTAAATGATGATTGAATATTTCCTTTTTTTAATTATTTTTATTATTATTTTTCAATCTCAATCAACTTTTATAACTTTATGCCAGCACGATACAAATACATGTGTCTTTATTTTTTTTATTATTTTCATTATTATTTTTCAATCTCAATCAACTTCTATAACCTTATGCCAGCAGGATACAAATACATGTATGTCTTTATTATTGTATCAACTCTTGTCTTTTCCATGTAACCATGTCTTCATAGTTTGAATTATCCCTTCATCTTCTCAATCTTTCGCAGAGATTTAATTAATTAAATACACTTCACACGAAATAAAGTTTGCTGGAAGATATACAGCAAACGATAACTGTAAAAACATGATTACGTGGAAAGAACAAGAGTTGGTACAGTAAAGGCAAGTAAGTAAGTACATGTAATGTATCGTATTGGCATAACGCTATATCCGCGGAGCAGATAATGTGGCTGTAGAGGTAGTCTGCAGTGCAGCTAATGTGGACGTAGATGTTGATTGAGATAATTGTCTAATATAAAATAGAATTTAAAAATTTAGTTTAAAAAGCTGTTGCATATATAAATAAAGTTTATTTTTTCTAAATTTGGAATATGTTTAATTAATTAATTTTTTAAGTCTATGTTTAATAAATTTTTTAAGTCTGTATTCAATAATTTTATTCATTTGATAAATACATGTATGTCTTTATTTTGATATGTTTAATATAATTAGAAATTCATTATTAATTAGATATGTAAACTATAAATTCATATATAATATTTGAAAATATATGTGAATATTTAAATTTTTATCTTCTCCTTCCTCTCCTTCAATCTCTTTAATATCAATATGTGTATGTGTGTACACGCGCGCACATTTGTACGTATTTATTTAATTATTGGATAGTTGAGAGTACTTAATTGATAAAAATTATGACAATAATAATCCTTTTGTTTTTTTTCTTATTATTTACTCAGATTTTTTTGTCTATCTTATAAGATAAACACTTTAGATTGAATATTTCAAGTAAACTAAGTTAAGGGCGTAGCGGATTAATCCATGTATCTTAAACACGAGTCGGACAGTGAGTCTTTTATAATATTTTCGATCCTCAATAATGGATGTAAGCATCGAGTTTATACTAGACTTAATCGATAGATTGAGTTTGAATTTATAAAAAAGTGTCTTTATTTCTGCTCTACGTGATTGGTAAGCAGAGATATATAAATGCCAAGTCGAAATATGGACAAATTTCATTAAGAAAACTCCCCGTCATTATCATCCTGACCACGCAACATAGTAGTATCGTGTTGCCACGTTTCACACGTTACAACACATGCGCACACATATATCCAGTACAAACACATGCAAGATCATGTAGTGGTAATTTTGTCCATCTCGCACGTTTTACAACAGATGGCGATAAGTGCGCTCCGCCATATCG